ATAAACCACTTTTAAGACCCCAGCCGCAGCCCCTAACAAAGAACAAACCCCAAGCGCTACGCATGTGATTGCATTTGTTTTTCAAAAGGAAAATGTACAATTCTGCCAATTTTTACCATAAAAATGGACTGTTATATGTTATAACAGGAAAATAATACAAGAATATTTTAAATATGTTCTATCGAAAAAATACGCGAATCTCGGCGAGTAATTTGTACATATGTTTTTCATTGAAAAACGCGGATATTCGGTACGTACGTATGTTCTGAAGAAAAATCCGCGAATGTGTGAAGCCGCGAATGCTGAAACGCGAATAGGCGGGAGCTCGCTCGAGTTAGCAAGCTTGTCTCGCTAGATCATTTACGACTGTATAGAGAGTTCGGTCCTCACTGGGTGCCCCATGCTTTCGGCCCTGTGCCACATCTAAGTTATTTTTAGAAAGACGGTACTTCAACGTGACTTAATAGTTTGCAAGCTTGTCTCGCCAGATAAGTTTTGACTGAATAGTGAGTTCAACCCTCACTGGGTGCCCAATACTTTCGGCCTTGTGCCACATCTGAGTTACGCTAAGAAAATCATTTGAGCACTTCGACGTGTTGTAATAGTTAGCAAGCGTGTCTCGCTCGATCATTTACGACTGTATTAATGAGTTTGGTCCTCACTGGGTGCCCCATACTTTGGGCCTTGTGCCACATCTAAGTTAAACTTAGAAAATAAACATAACAATTGAGCTAGAGTATTTTCTTTTCTTTTAATGTGGAGAGGCTGTAATTATTTCTACGGAACTCAGAAGGAGGTGCTGAAAAGAACCCACTTTCCCAAATCGGAACAAATAACCAGACAAGTATTAAAAAAAAAGAAGAAAAAAGTTGTTTTTTTTTTTTTTTTGGCGGAGATTTGGGTGGTAAAGATTCCATGATTGGGCCGAGGACTTTTAAGCACCCCCTAGTAGGTAAACATTCTAGGTCATTTTTTGTAAATACTTGGGAGTGCGCGCATGCGTATATTCAATGGATGTTTCGAAATACATGCATATTCCCGCGCCATGTGACATTGAGCAACACACACACACACACACACACACACACACGCGCGCGCGCGCACACGCGCACACGCGCACGCGCGCACACTCACACATATCATAATAGGCTACCTACATCCCGTGACGACAAAGAAAAGAATCAATCATAAAAAAAAGAGACTCTGATGGTTCTTTGTCCACCACGCCATTAATACTTTTTACCAGACTATGGAAAGGTGCTGAACAGTTCTAGATCCGATAAATTTCCTTGAATCTCACGAAACATCAGAATGTGTTAACATCCTCTAACATCCCCCGTCTCTCCCCACGTCTCTCTCTCTCTCTCTCTCTCTCTCTCTCTCTGTATATATATATATATATATATATATATATATGAAATAAATCTGTTCACTTAGCTGATGAATGTCTACCATTTATTATTATTGTTACAGATATGTCTCTTGATATCAAGCAATTTATTTACAAGGACAACTTCCATGAATTCACTGGCTGACCATTTCGAGCGAAATACAATTATTGTCTTATATATATATATATATATATATATATATATATATATATATATATATATATATATATATATATAATAGTTCGAATGAACTACAGCAATCAATCCCCAAAATTGAATAAATACCTTTAATTATCTTCCCAAACCAAAACAAAACAAAACTATTAAATTACCGATACAAACAATTCTTTACTGCGTTAATAAAACACCGATTGAAATATAAATAAATAAATATATAAGATAAGAAATAAGAATAAAAATAAAATAAAATACAACAATCGTGGCTTGACGATTGCGTCTAGCATAAAACAGACTGTCGCCTCTAAGTGTTGACTTCAATTTTCACGTTTATATTTACACACACTCTAGCTCTGATATTGAGCACGTTATTCCATAAATATAGAACGTCTTAACAGTATATTTCTTCATATATATATATATATATATATATATATATATATATATATATATATATATATGGATCAAAAAGCTGGGCAGAGCACTGCAAGACAGGAGGATTTCTTTGGTGACAAAGAAAAGCGTACTGAGCTGCTACGTGATATCTGTCCTCCTATACGCTCAAGGAATGATGGACGGTCTCCTCAAAAGATGAAGAAGAGACTCGAGGGGGGAGAGATGTAGTTCTGCAGAAGGATACTGAGGATATCATGGAATTTTTCGCAGTCTAACCAGATTTATCTGTATTGATTTTCTAATTCTTTCCACGATCTCTGTTTTTAAACATCCCACATTATGATAACAGAAAATCTGCCAAGAATGGTGATATGTTACAAGTGCTTGGACGTAAATTTACTTTGGCTGAAGTATTGAATTTCTGATAGTAACATATCAGTTGCATATATATATATATATATATATATATATATATATATATATATATATATATATATATATATATGAAGAAATATAGTCTTAAGGTGTGCTATATTTATGGGGTAAAGTGCTCAATATCAGAGATAGAGCGTGTGTAAAATATAAAAGTGAACATAAAGTCAACACTTTCGACAGTCTGTTTCATATGAGACGCAATCGTCAGGCCTGACGATTGCATATAGCATCAAACAGACTGTCACCTCTAAGTGTTGACTTTATGTTCACTTTTATATATATATATATATATATATATATATTGATGCATGTTTCATTAAATAGTATAGACAAGTTTTGTCGATTTATTTTAAGTAAGTCCCTTCATATTGTCTGATAAGCTTAATAACATTATCATGCAACACAAAAAAAGACTATCATTATTGTTTCGTCCGTGTATTGTTTGATATATTAAAAAGTAATTGTCATCTTTGATAGTGGCTTATGTAAGCCGAAAGCTTAGACTGGATTTAAACATGTATCAATATGGTGATTTCCTTTTGTCTTTCAATGATAATGTTATTAAGCTTATCAGACAATAGGAAAGGAACTTACTTAAAATAGACAAAACTTGTATATATTATTTAATGAAACATGCATCAATGAAAAATTGCTGCCTAAATATACAATATATATATATATATATATATATATATATATATATATATATATATATATATATATATATATATGTATTCACGTAAAAGGAAAATATATAAAAAGTAATGGTCATATAATAAAACGATAATATAAAATATATGTCTATATTTCTGAGACGAGGTATTATGTACACTATTTACATTCTTTGGACTAATGTCCTCATCTTTGTTGCCATATTTATCACAGTGGATAAAGGCGTTGGTCAGATCCAGTGACAGGACCCAAAGAGTTGTGCTTTCAAAACCTGGTTAAGGCAGTGGAGAACTTGGAGAGGGGGAATTAACTGATATCCATGAGAAATGACACGTGAAACTAGAACAGTCTACCCCAGCAAGCGAAAAAAGGGTTCCAGCCACCTGAAGAAGGCCGGAGCGTACAGTGGTCGAAACGTTGTAAATAATGTAAATAGTATAAAAGTAATAATTCGTGCATAATGAGTTGGTTGCAACACAATCACGTGACAAGACACCAATAGTGTTGAAATAAAATGGCTATTTTTGTAGTGATGTTATAATATAATATACATTTGTTTGTGTGTGTGTGTCTGTGTGTGTGTCTGTGTGTGTGTGTGTGTGTGTGTGTGTGTAACGAATGCACGGCCGCAATTTTCGACGGATTTGCACCGAAATTTACATGCACATGCTCAATGTTAGCGGGAAGGCCAAGACCGACTTTGCATTTCCCAACTCCCATCGATAGTGGAAATAATTGATTTTTCATGCTTCTAAGGCAGTTTTCATGTAGTTTGCGGCCATTTTCTACTGGACAGAGTGAGAGCCTATAGCTGGCTGCCACGAATAGGCAGGAAGATTCTATCGGTCAGCGTGAGAGCCAACAGCTGACTGATACGAATGTTAACTAGCATGCTAGCATGCAAAAAAAATATCGATAGCTGCATTCGTCACAAGTGGGAAAAATTTAAATCTACATGGCACTTTACTTCAATTGGCTCATTCGCTTGCTTAAACTCAACGTTGAATCTGATTCCGCAGAACTGGGTTGGGTATAAAAAAACTATTTGCTGTTAACATTCTTTTTTCATTCGGTTTTTCCAGTTACGAGTCCTTTTTTTAAAGCCGATCGTTTTGTGTTTATTATGTTTAGTTCTTTTTTCTTAACAGATTTAATGCCTAGTATAGATCTTAGAAAAAATCGCAGTGTGAGATAGACAAGAAGTAAGGCATGTAGCAACATCAGCATGGCAAAGGGCACTCCTTTAAAGGCAAGGGAGGGCGATTGCTGTATGAGTCGTACGATTTTTAAATCAAGCACGAGCAACGCCCATGCTGCTAATATATATATATATATATATATATATATATATATATATATATATATATATATATGAATTGGGATCAAATGTGGAACAAACGTGAATTAGAATCCAACAAAATGATAAGAATCGGAACGAGATATTGGAAACGTTTATAAGGTAAAAATGCAATGTTAAGGGGAAAATAAAATTCAGCTATTTTTTTTTTATTTCTGTGTTATTTGTCTTTCATTTACACACGCAACCTCATTTCGCATAGATTAGCCAGAATTATGGTAGACAAACACAAAACATTTATAGACACGAACATTTTCTTGCAAGACAAATCCACATGGGGTCCGCTTAACCAATGGAAGAACAGAAAATTAAAATAACAGGAATACAAATTTAATTTTTGATGTGACGAAGCGAAACATGTTACGCTCATAAGGTATTCTTATTTTTGTTAATATATATATATATATATATATATAGTTGCTGAGATAATTGTTTTTTTTCCACAGTGTTGACAAATGTTAGGTTTTAGAAATCTGGTTTTAATTGGGAAAATGTCGCAGTCAGGTCTTTGCTTCCATCTTAAGTCATTTGCAGTTAATTTAATTATCTAATGACACGTTCATCGCTATCAGACAATTTCTTCAGCTAATTGTTCCTTTACACCTTTCGGAAATTGTATCTATCTATCTATCTATCTATCTATCTATCTATCTATCTATCTATCTATTTCAGCCTGTTCAAATCCATCTCACCCTGTTCATTATCTATCTATCTATCTATCTATCTATCTATCTATCTATCTATCTATCTATTCATATATAACTATGTTCATTATCTGTCTATCTCTCTGTCTATTTCAGCCTGTTCAAATCTATCTCACCCTGTTCATTATCTATCTATTTATCTATCTATATATATATATATATATATATATATATAACTATGTTCATTATCTGTCTATCTCTCTGTCTATTTCAGGCTGTTCAAATCCATCTCACCTGTTCATTATCTATCTATCTATCTATCTATCTATCTATCTATCTATCTATCTATCTATCTATCTATCTATCTCACTCTGTTAATTATCTATTTCTGTTCATTATCTATCTATCTATCTATCTATATATATATATATATATATATATATATATATATATATATATATATAACTATTTCATTCTGTTCATTATCTATCTATCTATCGATCTATCTATTTCAGCCTGTTCAAATCTATCTCAGCCTCTTCATTATCTATCTATCTATCTATCTATCTATCTATCTATACACACACGCGCATATATATATATATATATATATATATATATATATATATATGGTTTCATTCTGTTTGTATCTATCTTGATCTCCTTGTAGAAGAAATCACACGGACGTCTTTGTCCTTACAAAACTGAAACAATCATTTAAAGGTAGCCATTTCTAAAGCCCTACACAAGCGACCATACTCTCAGAGACAAAAGCAGCAATCAAGTGGGATTTCTAGCCTTTGCAATACTGATCGATTCCTTCACAAAGGGAGCACAGTAGCACGCGCGTGCGCGTCACCATCACCTTTTAGCGTCCCTCCTTCTCCTTCGCCTCGCCCACTGGATTCTTCCATCTCCTCCCCCTTTTTTGTATTTATTCTAGTCACACCTTCTCTACCCGCCTTCCTTCCATGTTCAGTCAACAAACTATATTGACTTAGAAACCGTATTGATCACTGCCTTTCATTGCCTCCTCTACCTTTTCCTCTCTTAACAGCTGTTGCTACCTTCTCCCACTCTCTCAAAAGTCCATGTTTTATGGTTAGCCCGGGCGTCGGCGCCATTGCTTGCCATCTCAATTCTTGCCGCGTCTTCCACGCAAGAATTGTGCAGGTTCCATTTGACGAGCTTCCTTTTTCTCCCCCTTTTTTTCCTTTGTCTTTTTGTTCTCTACTCTGTTGCTTACGTGTTTTTGTTGGGTTCGCTTTGTTCGTTCCGTTCCTGTTTCATTTTCTCCTTTCCTTTTCGCATCTTCTGCTTCTTCCATTTTTATTTCCTCGTACGTTCACGCCGACTTCTTTCTTTTCTTTCTTTCTTTTTTCTATTTTCCTTTATTTTTTTTATTTTTCTTCTTTCTTTCTTTCATCCGATTTTTTGCTTTCCGCTTTCTCTTATTTCTCTTTGTCTTTTTCATTTTCCTTCTCTTTCTCTTTCTTGCTTTTATCTTTCTGTATCCCTCTCTCATTATTTTCTTTTTACTTTTCTGTTTCTATGTCTTCCTCTACATGCGTCTCTCTTTTCTTTTCTTTTTAAACCATTTCACCCGTTTATTTTTGTTTTTTCCTTCCCGTTTGTTTTTTGTCTTTCTGCCTTTATTTTGATATTCTTTCTTCTTTCTTTCTTTTCTTTTCTTTCTTTTTTGCTTTTGCTTTTTTTTTTCTTTTCTTTTTTTCTTTCTTTTTTTTTTTGCTTTTTTTTTCTTTTTCTTTCTTTTTCTTTCTTTTTTTTTCTTTCTTTTTTTTTTCCAGAGATCAAGTTTTCTTTCTCTTTCTCCCTTTCCGTCTCTCTTCTTTTCCTTTAAACAATTCTCGCTTTAAGTTTTGTTTTACCTTCCCGTTTGGTTTTCTTTCTTTCTTTCTTTTTTTTTTCTTTCTTTTCTTTCTTTCTTCCTTCCTTGCTTTCTTTCTTTCTTTTCTTTCTTTTCTTTCTTTCTTTTCTTTCTTTTCTTTCTTCCACTTTTCTTTCTTTTCTTTTTTTGTTGCCTGCTTTCTTTCTTTCTTTTCTTTCTTTCTTTCTTTCTTTCACTCTTTCTTTCTTTTTTTCTTTCTTTCTTTATTGCTTGCTTGTCTTCTTTCTTTCTTTCTTTCTTTTTCTTTCTTTATTGCTTTCTTGCTTGCTTGCCTTCTTTCTTTCTTTCTCTCTTTTTCTTTCTTTCTTTCTTTCTTTCTTTATTGCTTGCTTGCCTTCTTTCTTTCTTTTTTTATTGCTTGCTTGCCTTCTTTCTTTCTTTGTCAGATGACAAGATTTCTTTTTCATTCTTCCTTTCCTCCTTTTATTGCTTTTAAGATGACACTTTCTTCTTCCTTATTTCTTTTTTTTGGTTCGTTTCTGTCGTTTTTTTTCTTTTCATTCCTGCTTACTTTCTTGACTTCTAACTTCATTTTCTTTCATTTATTCATTCTTTCATTCTTTTTCATTTCTTTCAGTTGGAAAGATTTTCTTTTTTACTTTTTTTCGCTTCCTTCTCCTTTCCGAAAAGTTTTTCATTCATTCATTCATTCATTCATTCATTCTTTCTTTTTGACTTCTTTCAGTTGATAAGATTTTCTTTTTTCTTTTTTTTTTTTTCTTTACTTACTTCTGCTTTCTGGAAATTCCTTTCTTTCTTTCTTTCTTTCTTTCATTCTTTCTTTCCGAAAACATTTTTCTTTAATTCATTTGAAACTCTAAGACTCATTCTTTCATTTTTTTTCTCTCTCCTTCTATTTTTATCTTTTGGATTCTTATCCCAAACTTTTGTTTTTCCTTTAGTAAATACCTTCTCTTTCTTTCTTTCTTTCTTTCTTGCTTGCTTGCTTGCTTGCTTCCTTTCTTACTTTCTTGGTTTCTTTCTTTCTTTTTCTCTTTCTTTCTTTCTTTCTTTCTTTCTTTCTTTCTTGCTTGCTTGCTTGCTTGTTTTCTTTCTTTCTTTCTTCCTTTCTTGCTTGCTTGCTTTCTTTCTTTCTTTCTTTCTTTCTTTCTTTCTTTCTTCTTTGCTTGCTTGCTTGCTTGTCTTCTTTCTTTCTTTCTTTCTTTCTTGCTTGTTTTCTTTCTTTCTTGCTTGCTTTCTTGCTTTATTTCTTTCTCTCTTTCTCTCTTTCTTTCTTGCTTGTTTTCTTTCTTTCTTTCTTTTCAGTTATTGCTTTCTTTTATTATACTATCATCTTTGTCTTTGTTGTTATTTCTGTATTTGTTTTGCGTTTTTTTCATTTTTTCTTCATTCACTCATAAACTCCTTCCTTATTAATTCTCTCATTCCTTCCTTTTTTATTTTTAATTCCTTTCATTCATTTAATTTCTCTTTTTTCCTTCTTCTTCATTCAGTCTAATTTTTATTCCTTCCCCACCCATTCTATTTTTTCTTTCTTCCAATTACAATTTTCCTTCAAACTCCGTTCGCCCTTCAACTCCTCCTGTAGCAAATCGAACTCTCCATTTTCCTATCGCCGCAAGTGAATCTGAATAGGAGACTAATTTTCTAACCTTCCCGATTCCCCTTCTAACCTGGGCCGAAGCCAAAAAAAGCTTAGAAGCCCCCACAAATCGGCACCTCCCACAAGTTTACAACCAGTGGTCAGGCAATTTGAAGCGTCAAAATGATTCGTCCTTCCATTGTGCAGAGTGGGTCTGACTGCTGCTCCAATACCTCAGTATTCATACACTGCCTCACAAACATTTCTAACCATTCCTTGTCTCTTATTTATTTCCTATGCATATTAATGGAATCCTTCTTTTATCCCTCCAAAATTAAGATTGTCGGTTTTGTACATTTACTGGTGGACATAAAAACAATAAGCTTTTCATTTCATTTCATTGCTGCTTTCCGCCATTTTTATCCTCCACGTTCATCTTTTTCCTCATTTTTTTCCCATCATTCTTCTTCCTTTGCCGGTTTTACTTTTCTTCATTCATTTACCGTAATTCCCCATGTATAATACTCCTTCATCCATAATCCGCACCCCTAAAATTGTGCTGAAAGTGTGCGAAAATGCTTATAACTCATACCTAACACGCACCCCTTGTTTTGTAATCAAACCCTATAAATTGTACCTCTCTAATTTCATTACGGCCAGCGTTTCCTACACTTATTTAAAAAAATTGGTTTTAAATATAGAATAATAATATTCTAATTTAGTTTTATGATAATTCTTATCTTGTTTTACGGCAAATTTTAAAAATTTTCTTGTATTTTTGCATAATACGTTCGCCTGATTTTGCTTATTATTTTTTTGGAAAAAAATGCGTATTATACATGAGGATTTATTTTTCCTTCTTCATTTGCCGGTCCTGCTTTTTCTATTGATTTTTTCGTTATTCACTTCATTCTTCACGTTTTTCTCATTCGTTTTCCTTCTTCCTTTGCCGGCCATTCTTTTCCTATTCATGCTTTTATCATTCATTTTGTTTGCGTCTTCAGTCATTTATGTGCCATGCGTGCTACACGCTTAGGCGATCATGTATCTTTCGATACCTGACTAACGAGGCAGATATTTTTCTGCTGTAGTCCAGTTGCCATCCAAGGCTATAGAACCCGGTCTGTCCTGCTATTTACCCATACCTTGGGGGAGAGAAGAAGAAGATTCATACCTTTCCCAAGGTTATTATTAGCACGTAAGTAAATGTAATGGATTCAACTGGAAAGTCAGTCAGTCAGTTATGTGCTATTCGCGATACACGCTTAAGCGATCATGTATCTTTCGATACATGACTAACGAAACAGATTTTTCCCGCAGTAGATTGCCATTTCTTTCTGCAGTAGGCCAGCTGCCATCCAGAACCCTGTCTGTACTGCTATTTACCCATAGCTGGGGAGAGAGAAGAAAAAGGATTAATACCTTTTCCAAGTGTATTAGCACATAAGTAAATGTAATGAATTCGACAGGAAGTCAGTCAGTTATACACGCGTCAGCGAACATGTATCTTTCGATACATGACTGACGAGGCAGATTTTTTCCCCGCAGCTGGAGGGAGAAGTGGATTAATACTTTCCCTAAGGGTATTAGCACGTAAGTGAATGTAATGGAGTCGACTGGTATTCGATCTCAGCTTTCCGATTCCTCAATCCGAACCTCTATCCATTGCTCCACCGTGCCGACTCTGCGTCTTACATTGCTGGCTTTATTCTTCCCCCTCCCGTTTGTGCCATTTGCTTCGTGTTCCTTCTCTCATTAAAGGTCTTATATTTCCGTTTCAATTCTAGTTTGACATCTTACACTTCTCGTTAGTTTTTTTACCGAATCACCAATTCCTCGATCGTTCATTTACTTTTCACTTCTTTCTCATTCACCTCGATTTCCTTCTTTTTTTGTCGGTTTTAACTTTCCCCCACGCGTTTTTTCTCATTGGTCCGCCCAACCTTCTCTTGCTGGTTCTTATTTTCCTGTTCATGTTTTTTTTCATTTGGGTTCCTTATCACTTTGTCGGTTTTAATTTTGCTTTCACGTTTTTTCATTCGTTTTCCCTCTTCCGTTGTCGATCCTTATTTTTCCTCTTCACTTTTTTCTCATTCGTTTTGCTACCATCTTTGCCAGTCTTACTTTTGCCTTCCCGTTTTTCTCATTCGTTTTCCTTCTCCCCTTGTTAGTCTTACTTTTGCCTTAACGTTTTTTCTCATTCGTTTTCCTTCTCCCTTTGTTAGTCTTACTTTTGCCTTAACGTTTTTCTCATTCGTTTTCCTTCTGCCTTTATGGTCTAACTTTCCCCTTTACGTTTCTCTCATTCATTTTCCTTCTCCCTTTGTTAGTCTTACTTTTTCCTTAACGTTTTTTCTCATTCGTTTCCTTCTCCTTTTGTTAGTCTTGCTTTGCCTTAACATTTTTCTCATTCGATTTCCTTCTCCCTTTGTTAGCCTTACTTTTGCCTTAACGTTTTTTTCTCGTTCGTTTTCCATCTTCCCTTGTTAGTCTTACTTTTTCCTTCCAGTTTTTCTCATTCGTTTTCCTTCTGACTTTGTTAGTCTTACTTTTGCCTTCCCGTTTTTCTCATTCGTTTTCCTTCTCCCCTTGAAGGTCTTACTTTTGCCTTCCCGTTTTTTCTCATTCGTTTTCCTTCTGCCTTTGTCGGTCTAACTTTCCCCTTAACGTTTGTCTCATTCATTTTCGTTTTCCTTCAGTCTTTTACTTTTTGCCTTCCCGTTTTCTCATTGTTTTTGTTTTCCCTTGTCAGTCTTACGCCTTAACGTTTTCTCATTCATTTCGTTTTCCTTTGTCAGTCTTACTTTTGCCTTAACGTTTTTCTCATTCATTTTCGTTTTCCCTTTGTCAGTCTTACTTTTGCCTTCAACGTTTTTCTCATTCATTTTCGTTTTCCCTTTGTCAGTCTTACTTTTGCCTTCCCGTTTTTCTCATTCATTTTCGTTTTCCCTTTGTCAGTCTTACTTTTGCCTTAACGTTTTTCTCATTCGTTTTCCTTCTCCCCTTAGTCTTACTTTTGCCATAACGTTTTTTTCTCATTCGTTTTCCTTCGATCTTTGCCGGTCTTATTTTGCCTTCCCGTTTTTCTCATTTGTTTTCCTTCTGCCTTCGTCGGTCTAAATTTCTCCTTCATGTTTCTCTCGTTTGTTTTCTTCTTCCTTTTCGCTTCTTTTTCACCTCTTCCCGTTTTTCTCATTCACTTCGTTTTCCTTCTTTCCTTCCAATGTCCTTCATTTCCTGTTCGCATTTTTCTCATCCACTCCGTTTTCCTTCTCCCTTTGCCGACCTTCTCTTTACCTCTTCAGTTTTTTGACTTTTATTTATCTTTCCTTCTTCCTTTTCCGAACTTAATTCTGTTCCCTTTTATGTCATTCATTTCGTTAAAGTTCAGTAACATTTTCTTTGTTTATAACGATATTTTCCTCTTTCTTAATACTCTGCTTAACATTTTCAAGGCATCTTCCTGTATTCCAAAGCACCTTCGTGTTGCATTTTCCATCCGCTCTTCAATCCCTTCCTAGATATTTAAATTTTTGTATTTGATTGCTTTTGGCGACTCCAGCTTCGTAATTCTTGTTGGGCTGTTTATTTTGCTAGTATTCGTGCATGCTGTATTCTTAAAATTGATAGTTATTCCTTTCTTCCCGCTTTCCTTTATTACCTTCGCTAGCTGCTTTTTTGCCATAAACATTGTGTCATCCGCAAATCTAAAGTTGTTAAGATTGTGTCTGCCAGTCATGAATCCTGATAGGTCTACTAATTCTCACGGGATTTCTTCAGGTTGAATAAGTCTGGCGAGACGACACACCCTAGTCTTACACCTCTTTCTATTCTTTGCATATTTACTGAATTCATTTTCTGTCTTTATGTAGGCGTTTTTTTTTTAATTCATTTATTCTTTAGCGTATTTTCGCCGCCGCTGTTGTCACTCCCACCCCGTATCTCTCAATTGTGGTTCATGGTGGCATTCAAAGCAGAATAGTGCAATGACTTGACGGTTCCTTTTGCGCCGAGAGTATTGGGGTTAACACGTCCTCCTCTCAGAAGTTAAAGAGGCAAGGCGTACAAGACAGCAAGGGGTTTGGGTTCAGAGTTTTACTTCTCTTAGACTGGCGATGGTTTATGGAGGCCGTCCCAGACTTCATTGCTCCTCTCTCGGCCGTTCCGACAAGATGCAAAAGAATATAGGGCGTTATATTTGGGGACGCTTTAGAGTTGCCGGGAAGTCGTCAGTGTTGACAGCCAACCACCTTCGGGGCTTTGATTTGGGTTTTCTGTCTGGACCATTTTCCATAGCCATTTCCGTGTTTTGGATATGACCGCAAGGTACCGAAAGTTTATGATGTAATGGAATAACCTCTCACTCACATGAGTGACTAAACTATAGGTAGTAACGACCTATAAGTATCTGTAAGTCAACGGACTATAGAGACTCACTGGAATCTTTTCCTGTGGTGCTAATCAAACGCTCTGCCTCCGGCCAAAGAGAATCCCCAGACGAGGCTATGTCGAAGGAGAGAGTCTCGTCTTGGGAAACAGCTACCCGATCCCGTTTTATACGAGATCTACGGGGATTTTTTGGCTGAGCCTACGGGCTCGGATACCCCACATTAAATTCGTCCCTGTGACACATCCGATCGGGTGGGGCGGTTAGTAAATATATTAGCTGGAATCTATTCCAGCTGTGTTATCGAACACACTGCCATCTGGATGAGGCTGTGCTGAAGGGCAGACCCAAACCTGTTTATACGGGTTCTACGAAGAATATTTGGCCAAGCCTACGGGCTCGGATGACCCACGTTGAATTCGGCCTTGTGCCACATCTATCCTCGTTTTTCAAGTAAATATTGATTAGGTGGAATCTTTTCCAACTGTGCTGTCGAACTCTCTGCCTTCAGGCAGAAAGGAACCCGGACGAGGCTTTGCCGAAGGGCAGTCTCGTTCGTGGAGGTAGACATACCCCAGGTAGACATACCACAGCCCGTTTCTGCGGGTTCTACAGGGAATTTTTGGCTGAGCCTACGGACTCGGATGACCCACGTTAAGCACGGCCTTGTGCCACATTTAGCTTCGTGGGGAGCGTAGTAAATATTGACTAGTTGGGATCTATTACTCAGCTCTTAGCTGCTGTCGAACTCTGCCTTCGAGCAGAGTGGAACCTGGACAAGGCTATGACGAAGGGCAGAGTCTCGTCCGGGGAGGTAGACAGACCCGAACCCGTACATGCGGGGTTTACGGGGACATTTTGGCCGAGTCTACGGGCTCGGATTGCTCCACATTAAATTCGGCCTTGTGCCACATCATACCCTGCGCAGAGGTTGGTACCGACCTTCCAACAGTAGCACTCACTACTGGATTGACTTGTGACGACTTTGTGCATAACTGTTACCTTTATTCTTATTGTACCATCTTTTTACAATAAACCTTTACTTATTTTTTCAAGTATATATTCCTATTAGCACGGAATATAACAGTTTAAAATCAGGGTTTTCCTTCCCTTAGATGGACTACCTCCCAGAACTATCCAACTCTACACGAAATTATTCTAATACCTTTCCCAATTATATCAAACGTGCGTAGCATTTTCAACAGTTCTTGGTGAAGTTCGTCCCGGATATGACGATAAACTACATCCGGCAGCAAGACCTCTGATCGGAAGATTTTGAGAAGCGTAGAAACACCTCTTAATTGCTATTATTCTCAGGTCCACTCTGACCCAGGGTGGTAGATCATGTTAGCATCCCAGCTATGGGCAAATAGTTAACTCCAAAACTGGGCTCAAAAAATGAAAATATTAAAACATATATTAGAGAAAATTACCAGAAATACATTGTCCGAGATTCTTTTTACCAAAGCTCACAAGAAAATAAAGATTTCCGCATTAAATAACCCATAAGGAGTTGATAAACAAACAAAGCAAGCAGTATTTTTAACAAACGTTTACGTAACAGAAGTTTAACATCGATATTTAATTTAAGAAGTAGTTTAGTTTTTTTTTTTCACTATGAAATGAAACATTTTGAAAAGTTATAAAATCTGAACTTCCAGAAATTTGTCTAAATTTTCCAAATTCATTTTCTAAATGAAAGAAATATATGGCGACACAAAGTGGTAAATTCACCAAAATGAAACCAATTGCATAGTAAATATCTACAAATATCAATTAAGTCATTGCATGTTTGTTTAATGGCTAAACTAGTTAATGTTTTTGTTTTGCTTCTCCCTTTGTTAGTCTTACTTTTGCCTTAACGTTTTTCTCTTCCGTTTTCCTTCTCACTCTGTTACTCTTACTTTTGCCTTCCCGTTTTTCTCATTCGTTTTCCTTCTGGCTTTGTTAGTCTTACTTTTGCCTTCCCGTTTTTCTCATTCGTTTTCCTTCTCCCTTTGTTAGTCTTACTTTTGCCTTAACGTTTTTCTCATTCGTTTTCCTTCTGACTTTGTTAGTCTTACTTTTGCCTTCCCGTTTTTCTCATTCGTTTTCCTTCTGACTTTGTTAGTCTTACTTTTGCCTTCCCGTTTTTCTCATTCGTTTTCCTTCTGACTTTGTCGATCTAACTTTCCCCTTTACGTTTGTCTCACTCATTTTCCTTCTCCCTTTGTTACCTATAAGTAACGTAACAGAGGCTTAACATCGATATTTAATTTAAGAAATAGTTTAGTTTTTTTTTTCACTATGAAATGAAACATTTTGAAAAGTTATAAAATCTGAACTTCTAGAAATTTGTCTTAATTTTCCAAATTCATTGGTAAATTCACCAAAATTAAACCAATTGCTTAGCAAATACCTACAAACATCAATTAAGCCATTGCATGTTTGTTCAATGGCTAAACTAGTTAATGTTTTCATTCGTTTTCCCTGATTTCCTTCCATACTTTTTGTCATTTTCCAGAATTAGAAAAAATAACAGATGTTCATCATCTAAATCTGATATCCTTTTTTTCTTATTGTCACCATATATATATATATATATATATATATATATATATATATATATATATATAAAAGGAAGGATGTGCGTGCGTGTGTGTGTGTGTGTGTGTGTGTGTGTGTGTGTGTGTAACGAATGCACGGCCGCAACTTTCGACAGATTTGCACCAAAATTTACATGCACATGCTCCAAGTTAGCGGGAAGGCCAAAACCGACTTTGCATTTTCAAACTCCCATGTATAGAACAAAGGTAAATCCTAATCTCATTTTTAATATATTTAGGGATCCCAGTTTCATTCAATAATTAGGAAGTAGATTTAATAATCCAATTATTCCGAATATTTGTAATAAGGGGGACATATTCAAAACTTAATTATAGGCTATTTTTAGTTATGCAAGACTTGCTAAAAACAGTCAGTGTGTTGGGCGTGGACATTACAACCTTTTAATTTTTTTATTACCAATTTTTATGTTACTAGGATAACAAATTACTTTATTGATTTGTGACTAGTGCTAAAACATTGATATTTGACTTTTTGAAAGAGAAAAAATGTATATATACCAGTATGGTAACATTAAAAATCTCAAATTTTCAAAAATTTTAATTAAAAACACAGGAAAACCTCCAGCGAAAAAAATCAGTAGATTGGATGAATAACTGTTTGTTTTCTAGCATGTAGCTGCTGATACAAAACCATGTTGATCAAAATTCTGATACAAGTTTTCAAAAGTGAGGATTTTGCACTTTTTCTAGAAACTGTGCCAACTCATCATTTTGCACATATCACACAGAAACAGAACTTTTATTTGTTCTTCTTGGTTTTGGTTGAGGACTGGGTAATAATACACTTGATGGCAAATGATCAAAATACTTATGGTAGATTTCTCGGCTGAGCTTTTCCTTGAATAACAACTGTTTCATAATCAAATGAAAAATGTTCAAAAACAGTGTTTGGTTTGTCAGGGGTTTTGTCTCGTGTTACTCCCTTTAACCATTGTTATCGCTCATGCTGATCTTGGGGAAGACAAAAGACACAAAATTTATCTTTTTAATCATAATTACTACCACGACAAAACCTTTTGGCCATTTTGAGAAAGATTTTGAGGTACTGAAATTAAAAAAAATATTAACCTAACAATTATTTTCTGAAAATTACATGGTGCTTCTAAAATGTGCATGAATCTTATATTCTAAGGTTTGGCGGTTTGGAATTAAGGATTCAGAATTGAAAATTTAAATTTTATATGAATGTGAGCATTTCTCATCTTTTAGAGACTGACATAGGTTAAGAAAAGCCAGGATGAAGGAATTTAGAATCCAGACATAGGAATTTTAGAGTCTGGAAAATGAAACTTTGGATAATCGTATTTTATCAAAGGTGCGGATCAATCACCTTCTCCTCCATAAAATGCGGTTATCCAAACATAATTAACCATTTTAATATTTTTAGCGTATATTTTTTAAAGATTTACTGTAAAAATATTAAACTGGTTAATTCCGTTTTACATTTTTAACAACAATGCTAGTAAAATTCAACATACATTTTTTAAATAACCGTAAATAATTTTTAGAAACATTTTTGATCAATACGTTTGTTGTTATGAAGTATAATATCATAAAGAGAATACTGAAATTAAATTTTAATTTGTTCTCTTTTCAAATGGGCAAATATTTATTTCGCAAAATAGAAAAATTAGCAGTGTAAAAATTTACATTCATCTTTTTCTTACAAGGACGGTATGAACATATTTCACAAGTTATAAAGTAACACAAATTATTCATTAAAAAATACCATCGAAATATTCGTTATTATGAATAATAAAAGCAAAAATTCAAAAAATTAATTTTCTGTGACAAAATTCTTAATAGTGACATTTTTGATGAAATTTACTGTTTAAAATAAAACGTAAAAAAAAAAAAAGAGAGACGATATTGACAAGACAATAATGCCGTTTCTTTTACATTTTTCTGGTATATTTTAAGGATACTATTTACATTATTCGGACTATTGTCCTCATCTTTGTCGCCATATTTATTACAACGTTTCGGCCCTTCAGTATCTGTCGATATTTCTTAGATGAGGTATTATGTACACTATTTACATTATTCGGACTATTGTCCTCATCTTTGTCGCCATATTTATTACAATGTTTCGGCCTTTCAGTATCTGTCTATATTTCTGAGATGAGGTATAACGTACATTATTTACATTATTCGGACTATTGTCCTCATCTTTGTCGCCATATTTATTACAACGTTTCGGCAATTCAGTATCTGTCTATATTTCTTAGATGAAGTATTATGTACACTATTTACATTATTCGGACTATTGTCCTCATCTTTGTCGCCATATTTATTACAATGTTTCGGCCTTTCAGTATCTGTCTATATTTCTGAGATGAGGTATTATGTACATTATTTACATTATTCGGACTATTGTCCTCATCTTTGTCGCCATATTTATTACAACGTTTCCGCCCTTCAGTATCTGTCTATATTTCTGAGATGAGGTATAACGTACATTATTTACATTATTCGGACTATTGTCCACATCTTCGTCGCCATATTTATTACAAGGTTTCGGTCGTTCAGTATCTGTCTATATTTCTGAGATGAGGTATAATGTACATTATTTACATTATTCGGACTATTGTCCTCATCTTTGTCGCCATATTTATTACAACGTTTCCGCCCTTCAGTATCTGTCTATATTTCTGAGATGAGGTATAACGTACATTATTTACATTATTCGGACTATTGTCCACATCTTTGTCGCCATATTTATTACAAGGTTTCGGTCGTTCAGTATCTGTTTATATTCCTGAGATGAGGTATAATGTACATTATTTACATTATTCAGACTATTGTCCTCATCTTTGTCGCCATATTTATTACAATGTTTCGGCCTTTCAGTATCTGTCTATATTTCTGAGATGAGGTATTATGTACATTATTCACATTATTCGGACTATTGTCCTCATCTTTGTCGCCATATTTATTACAACGTTTCGGCAATTCAGTATCTGTCTATATTTCTGAGATGCGGTATTATGTACAATATTTACATTATTCTAACTATTGTCCTCATCTTTGTCGCCATTTTAAAAAGTCAATATTAAAACAACAAAGTACATTTAAAAGAAGAAGAATATAAAATACAATTACTTGACAAAAAGTTTGATATTTATTTATTCAAATATTCGTGTAGGTGTGTGTGTGTATCCAACTACAAAATAAATATACAAACTTAGTATCACAGTTGTTTCTCTGTGCATTTATTATGGACTTTTTGGGCACCTCGAGGCGGTGTAATGGTTAGCAAGATTGTCTCGCTAGAAAAATTACAACTGAGTCGTGAGTTCGATCCTCACTGGGTGCCCCTTACTTTCGACCTTGTGCCACATCTAAGCTACGTTTGGAAAATCTTTATTGACTTAATGATATTTTTCGTCCAACTTATGAAAAATAATTTTTTATGCAAACTTTAAAAATAAACTTCATTGTTTTATGATTTGTAACTAACATAAAAAAGTAAATATTTTTCAATTAATTTTTATTAAAGCAAAAAAACTATAGCAAACCCTATTCTTTTGTAAATTAATTTAAATAAAATATAGTTAAATTCATAAAACAAATACACGACAAAAGTTCACTGTAACTCATGTTTTTCTTTCCTAATTTTTATTTAATTAAAGTTTTTTTTTTTCAAATTCAAATATTACTTGAAATTTAAGCATAATCGTTTTTCAAAACTAAATTCTAAATGTATCTTGTTTCTACTCCCTTTTAAAATAGTTAGTAATTAATGTTTAAAAGTAAACCATTATTTACTTTAAAAAAATCTAAATTCCCCTCCAAAATAAATAGTAAATAATTATTTTTTGAATAAGTAAATCTCGCTGGAATTTTTGCTTGAAAAAAAAAATTACATGTTAAATATATCTTAATTTAAGTTTATTAACTATGCCGTTTTTTTTCTCAAGGACACATGGCACAGTGGATTAAGGCGTTGGTGAGATCCAGTGACAGGACCCAAAAAGTTGTGAGTTCGATACCTGGTCAAGGCAGTAGAAAACTTGGAGAGCGGAATTAACTGACATCCATTAAACAATCTACACCAGTGACGAAATAGAGTGTTCAGTTCGAAGGCCGGAGCGTACAACGGCCGAAACGTTGTGATAAATATGGCTACAAAGATGAGGATAATGGTCCGAATAATGTAAATAGTGTACATAATACCTCATCTCAGAAATATAGACAGATACTGGAGATTTGTACCTTTCCCAAGAGTAATATAATGGATTCGACTGGAATTCTAACTCTACTCTCCGATTCCTCTATTAAGCGGCTATCCATTACTCCACCATGTCTCTAGTATTGAATAAATAAAATAATAATAATAAACAAA